TAACCACATGTTCAGAAAGGCCACATATTCCTTTTCACCAATAGTCGATTCGTCTCCAATATGGTTCAGAATGTAACTTGCCCATCCTGTGCAGTCTGATATCTTGGCCAATTTCTTGAAACCAGCACTCAAGTACTCATAAGGCTGCATTGATCCAGTAATTCTAAGGCCGATCAACATGTAAACATCGGGCAGAGTGATGGTCATTGGACCATGACCAAAAACAAAGGTGTTCAGGGCATTGGACCAGAAATAAGATGCGGAAATCAGGAGTGAATCATTCCTCTCTATCCCAGACAACGAGAGTGTCAAACATTGATTCAAATCATAAACCTCCCAATCTCCGGCCTTTTTCTCGGATACCCTACAAAACCAATCTCTCCATCCCTTAGGTATTTTAGGCCAGTTTCTGAAAGGGGTTTTGATATTCTAGGAGGACGAATCCACTATAGACTGTTTAAAGGGGATTTGGTTGGTTTCTTGATGGATGAAATCAGATGGATCAGGGTCACCCATAGGCCCAAGAAAATAGACATTGGAAGCAACAGATGATGGAATCAAGATTTCGTTCCCCATTTCCTGGAAATCGGATGAAATAAATTTGAGAAGAAAAGATGTACAGGGTAGCGGCCGGTACTTGGAGAATGGAAACTTGGAAGCATACCTTAGGGACGTGGTCGCTGGTCGCCATTGAAGCCGAAGTAGATTTGAGTCTGACAAAGATCGCTTGAATAGTGGCTTGATAGAACAGAGGATTTGCTAGGGTTTGAGGCCTTGGCGATGACGGCGTCGGATGTTAAGATTTGCTTGAGGAAGAAGAGAAAAGCAAACAGGCCGAGTGAGTTGGAAGAGATACTATTGGGATATTATATAAAACTCAGGACGAGAAGTCAGGAGTCATGCGTATATCTCGAAATAGAACGGTTGGAGCATGGTAAACGGATAAATAGGAATTTTGGAATAAAATTACTTTTATCCCAAAATTGTGGGGCATGTGTTTACACCAAAATTTGGGAGAAAAATGTGGGAACTCGAAGGCTTCCAAGATTGTGTCAATCAAGGAATTGATTGCTTTAGGATCGATATCAGCTGATTCAGATGCGCACTAGAATCGGCTCTCTTTAGATAGCGCCAGTAGATAACGATAAAAGCTACGGTTGGCGTTGAAAAACTACATATCGGACTCTACAAAAAAGGAAAGATTAGGGTCCAAGTTATCTTAAAATAGGAATGTTTTCTTTTATACCGAAGATTGTAATGAGTCGTACTCGAGTAGGATTCATGTTTAGGCTCCGGGTATAAATATTGGACCCCGGCTATTGTAAAACACACAATCAATCAAATAAAAGTCATTTACTTTTTTGGCTCTGACCAACCCTTAGGAGTAGGAGTAGAGTAGATCTCGGCGAGTTCTTCAGCGAGCAGGGCTACATCGGTCCGGCCGACCTCCAGCTTGTCTGTAAGTACCGTCATAGCTTATACTTCTGTTCGTTCGGCTGCATCGATCTAGTCGACCTCCACTACCACTCTAGTATAAGCTAGTTATCAACTCTTGTCTAGTTCAAGTACAGCTGCATCGATCCGGTCGACCTCCACTGCTCGAACTAGATTAAGGTCAAGTTATCGGCTCTATCTAAGGGTGGCGTCCTTCGGGTAGATTCATTAAGTTACCGATCTTGCTGATGTTTTTTCATCGTTATTAGTTTATAGCAACATCAATCCACTCGGTCGAGATCGAATTAGATCGGCCTTATATTCTTTCAGTCCGTCGTTCGCTTTACTACAACACGATGTTTCTTACTCTGAGCGACGGATTATGCTTCATCGGTTGTTTTTACTTCGATCTTGATCGTGCATAGTACGCGGTTAAGGTATGAATAATCTTGAAGATGTTTGCTGGCTAGTTGAATCTCATTTATAGTTCACCATTATGGTTGTAACGATCCGGTCGATCCCCACTGATGGCACTGTAGATTGGAGGATACTAGTTAGTAGATTTGTTCCTAGTTAGGCATGACCTTACCTGTTTGCTATGCCTACATCGGCTAAATAGCTGATCGCCTGTGCGTTAACGCCTACGATGCGCGTCCATGATTCTGTTAATCGTGAATAGATCTGTGTACTTTAAGGGTTTGATTCCTTGTCTTTTTACGGCTGCATCGATTCGGTCGAACCCCACTGTTAGAAATAGCAGGTTGAGTCTAAGGAGTCCATAGGTTTGTTCATGTGAAATAGTCAATTGTTCACACGTTGTAGTCCTTTTCACCTGAATCGACTATTTTAGCCGATTCATCTGAGCCATCACATATAGCATGTCTTTTGGAAAGTCTATTGAAGTACGGATGTTTTTGCGGATTCTTCGGTTTTAGTTTGTTACTATCATCATAGCTGCCATCGATCCAATCGAACCTCACTGTTGGTGGTAACATATTAGATTCAGAGCGTTTGTAGATCCGTTCGTATCAGATAGTCGATTCATTCATGTGCTATATCTTTTCCTGATTAGATTTATCGGCTCAATGCTTTACACTGGCAATATCTATCTAGCTGATGATCTTATTTACATCTACGAGTATTGTATCCATTGATATGAAATTAATCGCTACCCACGAGCTTTACAGTCCGTAACAGCCGATTTCTGTGCGGATCGGCTATTCAGTCGCTCTTCCCGTATGGCTGCTCCCGAAGCGGCACACTTGAAACTATCTGGGCACAAACCAGCATGTTCCACCTTAAATTACTGATAAACTTTCTCTTCTTATCAATTGTAGGGTCAAATTGACTGGCACATCTCGGGAGGAGTACGCAGGATCGATCATCCCTGCGTTGAAGCCAGGCGGATCTCCAGCTCCATCGAGCAGACCCTTCCGGCTTGCTTGTGTGCCCGTCTTGTTTTTGTGCCGATAGCCGGGCTTGTTGGTGTCTCCCCGAGCTTGTACCTTGATAAACACATGTGCCTCAACGGGTTCTTCTACTAAGTGAGTGTTCATGTTTTCTATGGTATTAAGTCTTTTGTTTAGTTAAGCTTTACTCTTACTTGTTTACGGGTTCGTCGTCCGTCCTTGTGGTGGATACTCTAGTAGGGTGCCCTGATAAAGACGGATAACCCTACGCAGATGCTAGAGTAGTAGTTGATAGCGTAGACGTGGTGTCTAGGCTAGAGACTACCTTCGTTTGCCTCGTACTTCACGGTTGAGGGGTAGACGACAGGTGGTGACAGCCATGTCCGTCCCTTGTAATCTCCCATGTCCCGGTACGACGTAGAGCTATAGGTCGGGCTCACTTGGCAGACCAGGTGCTACCCACTGCCCGAAGTAAGCAAGTGAAAGTAGACTTTACCTGTCTTAGACCCAAAAGCCATAGGAATCCATCTCAACCCTTTCTAATTTTACCCTTGTGTTGTCTTTGGACGAATTATCTAGAAGAAATACCTCCGTTTCCTGTGAAAAATACGATACCCTGAATACTTCTAGGTGAAGGCTACAACGGTAATTCCGTGCACTTGTAGATTAACTTCTGTAGACGTTAAGAAATACCAACAAGCTCCTAAGGCACCGCGCGCCCCAGCACCCCTTCTGCAGGCCCCTTAGCTCGCCGCGCCCCATCCCCTAGCGCCCGGGCCATGACCCCATGACTCTCTAAACGTATCTATGAAATATGAAGCACTTGCGCATGAAAACATTTGAATGCAACATACGCCTGAAGGAGATAAAACATTTGAAACATATACATGCAACATATGTGTAAAACATATGTAACATCCAGATTAAACACTTGCAACTTGTAACATGAGAACACTTACTACAACGTAAGACCGAAACAATTGAAACATATTGTTGCAGCATATGTGTGAAACATATATAACATTCAGATCAGAACGCTTGCAGCATAAGTACGTCTCAACAGATGAAATGTTTTGAACAAACATTTGCAACATGCCTCTGAAACACTTGCAACATAGGCAACATGTGCAAACATTCGTAATCTACTTTTGCAATATCCATAGGAAATAATTGCAACATACCTCTAAAACGTTCGAAACACTTGAAACATGCATTTGCAACGTAGAGGAGGGAAGGCCTGGGTCGGTCGGTTCCGCCATCGGGGTGGGAGCCATCGACGAGTAGTGGCGCGCGACCACCAGCAACATCTGGCCGCGTTCGTGGGTGCCTTAGGCTTGACAAGGGACGGCCCAAAGTGCCCCGACACGTGCGCCCATCGGCCATCAGCACTTCAGTAGGGGCGGCGGTGGCGAGGCATCCCGGTGACGTTGGGCCCGATGCGAGATAGAAAGCGAGAGATGGGGTGAGCAAAGGCAGTGCGTGGGATGGGGGCGCGGCGGGGGGCAACTGTCACGAACTAGGCACGCGTTGCAGGTGGGTGGAAGCGGCGAGGAGAAGTGTGCCGCGGCGTCTAGACGGACGAACACCCGCGTGGGAGCATTATCCTATTAAAAAATATAAGAGCAAGTTCATTTTTTCGAGAGAAATCGTGCGCCACGACATCACCTGTTGTGACTTCCATAATATCCAACAGAAGTCTTTTTATAAAAAAATATAAATATATCCAACAGAACACGCGCAAGAGCACATTTATTTGAAATTTACACTAGCAAGCATATCTATTTGATTTGAAGCCAAACAACTGTAACTGACAGCAGGTTACAGCTTAACTGGCACAGCAAAAGGATGACCCGCGAGTGGTTGTTGATACATCATACATGTACATGTGCGCAACCACTAGAAATTGACACGAACATCTATATATCTGTATCTCAATGTAGCACATACATATATATACGATTGGATTGGATCATTGGAATCATCATCTTGCAGTTGCAGCCCCGGGCGAAGGAGATTCCACTTTGCTGCGAGCAAAACCAACAGGAGCACTGCAAGTCTGCAACCTAGTCAGACGGAAGAATCTGAAACTCTGATGGAGCAACAGGTTGAGGTGAGAACAAGGTTGGTGGCTTTGCACTTGCAGCGACGCCTGACTTTCTACGACGCGGGCGCTCGCACCGGGAGGAGAAAGAGCAGCGTGAGAAGCAGCGCCAGGGCGAGGCAGGCTATGCTGCCGGCCAGGTACGCGCGGCCGAGGAAGCTGCTCCTGCCGCCCAGCACGCCGGTGGTGGACAGCACCAGCGCCTTCTTCCCGCCGAAGCTGTACGTGTTGTAGTTGTTCTGCACCATCACTGCTACCTCATCGCCGGCGTAGAGGTCCACCTCGACCCTCCCGTACAGATTCCGGAACGCCGGCAGCGCCGCCGTTCGCATCCACACCATCAGATCCTTCTGCTCACTCAGCTGTTGCAAATTTGCATTGCCCAAGGTAATAAGCAACCGAAATCTCACAAAGCGTCTGGTGCCTTTTTTCGTTCACTTCAATATTACTCGCTTGTCCGACTGTTGCTAAGTACTTTTGGGATATTACCCTATTTTGCAATCATTTTCGCTAGAGCACCTGCTGCTCTAGCTAATTGCCCACCCCTTTCACGTGTGATTTCTATGTTACGTGTGGCCGTGCTTAAGGGCATATCAGTTGAAGTAGGTTTTTCTTTTTTTATAAAAAAGACCTTCTTTCTAGGAATTTTTTTAAAAAAACTTACAGATTTGTTCGGATCAAGCTTCCCGCCGCCAACCAGAGAGCCGGTCTGGAAGTTTCTTGGGTACACACGGTCACCGAACAGGTGGCCTCTGTCACTCCTCCACGCGATGCCCTGCCTGTTCACCGCCAGCGTCTCGTTGCGACGGGCGAAGCCGTAGGTGTCGTTGAACAGGCTCCATGCCACGAGCCCGCAGGGGACGATGGACCTCCTCCCTTCGCGGTGGCTTCAGGGCCGCAGGTTTTGTCCTTCGCCATCTTCGGGGACCCCAGCTGGCTAATGCTGCGGCTCCTTGCATACCTGTCAAGTGAACAGCCGTAGTTTAGCTTCCATATAGGCATATATGGAAGTTCGTCAGCAGAAGTGACTTTATTTACCTCCTATGGTTCTGGTAGAATTTGTCGAGTTTATAATATACGTAAATTGGCGCCTTCATATGCGCATGAACCTGCAACGAGAAGATCATATATAGCCAAATCTTATGGAAATTTTCACCGCTAACTGAAAGCAGAAGACATTCGTCACCACCTGTTTTACTACCTTGAGCAACCTTGGGCAGGACTTTTCTGTCGAAGGATTCTGGATATAAGCAACTTTGTTGCCACGCATCTTCTCCGGTATGCATGCGGTTTCATATTGATCCACTTCAACAACCTGTATATTTCAAATCAGGAATGAAGTCACTCCAAACTTCGATTTCTGGAACTGGATCTCTTCTACAGGTTCATGTAACATCACAGCGCAAACATACCTTGTTTGAGGCTGCCATGCAGGCAAGACCTATCGGAATAAAAATTATGCCCACCAACGCAATTGCAGCAATCGCCTGATCACCAGCAAACACAAGTTACAGATGGTCGTCATCACATACTGAATTACTAAACCATATCTGTGCTGTATAGAACAAAAAAGTAATGAAATCTATACGAATAAGGAATTGAACTCACAGTCGGAGGTTTAAGTATACAATGGCATGCTGGAAGCTGCTGCTGAGTAAATGGATGGTCTTAACATCAACAGAAAAGATAGCAGTAAGTACTTTTCAAAATGTATACCACAAAGTTAAGGCAACACCAAAGTATCCCATTGAATAGATTACTTTATGCTAGCTTTGTGAATCACACTCCTCTAATTTGGCAAAAAGGAAAGATATTTTTTTTAAAATTTAATCTGCAGCACATCAAGTCATATATTTAATATTATTGATAATCTATAACAGAACAAGGTATGCTTCTACAGTCTGTTAAGCAGAGAATGGGAGCGAACATTCCAGTCCATTAAAAAAGTTGGTGAGCCTAACAGCATTGAGCTAAGATGTTCTCCCAAATTCTGCAAGCCTTTGCAAACAGAAAAATTGCAAAAGCTATAAAAGAGATCATTCATAATGCTACTAGAATCTATTAACTGCAGTTGCTGCTGATCAGAAAAATACAAGCTGGAGAAAGAAATACAAAATTTTGCTTCTTTATTTGAGAAGTTACACCGAGGCTTGTTGCGCTTATCCGTGGTGGCTGCTAGAGCAGCCTGCTGTGAAGAGCTTGATACGGCCGCGTCAACATTCATCGGCAGCATAGCTATCGTTGGTGAAGAAAGCTGTGTCTCGATGAACCAGTCCTGCAGACTTGAAGAACTGAACCCACCCCCAAAAACGTTAGACCTAAACAAATGGTTATGTATTAGTTTCAGAAAAGCTTCACAGGACAGGAGAGTTCAAAAGGAGGGAAAGCATCAAGCAGGTTTAGGAGCAGCCGAGCAGAGATGAAGCAAGGAATCTCCCACGACTAAAAAGAACAAAGCGTGGACACTTTTTGGTGCGACATTCCAACATGGGCCCATAGTCCTGCCCGTGCAATCGCACGAGTCGACGCTCGTACGCCCGTCCCCTCGCCACAAAAGGAAAGAGCTCAAAAGGAAACCTCGCTCCCATGATTCGTCCGCCCGGCGGTAGTTTCGCGATACCACCGATCTCGCGCGGCCATCATCGCCATCGCGCGGGCGCCCTTATCCTCGCTCGCGCCCTCGCTCCACGTGCGGCCGGCCACAGTCGTCTGCATCCGGCCCGCCCCCATCGTCGCCCTCAGCTCGCCGCGTCGCCGTTCCATGGCATCCCCTTCCCCCACCCCATGGATCGGGCGGCGCCCCCAACCACGTGACCTTCCCCCACCCTGACGCGCGGCCATGGTGGCCTTCCCTCACCGTGACAGACGGGACAGCAGGAGTCGACGGGCGGCAGCGAGCGTCGTCGAGGCCGGTCACTGGGGTACAAGAACAAGCCCAAGCCGCCGCCGGTGGTCACGTGGGACGTGGACCCCGCGGCGCCCATGCGGCCGCACATGCTTGAGATACCCAGCGGCGGAGTGCGCGCCGCCGCAGCATCAGGATCTGCGTGCTCGCGTGGATGGCCGCCGTTGCCGATGTCTCACTCCGCCACCCAGGACAAACATGAGCCCTTCTGCTTCCTCTTTGCCACATTAGAAGGTGAGGCATGCGTGGTTGTATTTTCAATTTGTGCTCAGTGTACAATTAGTCACCGATTTAATATCCTTCGGTCCTCAAGTGAATCTCTCAATATATGAGTGTCGAGTTTCCTTTGTTTTCAGTGTTTTCAATTTCAGAGATTCAGTTACTATGAATAGTGTTTTCATTTTGTGCCTTTTCAATTTCAGAAATTACCTCAAACTGAAGCCCTATGCTTTTTTATAAAAAAAATCAAGGTATCCTGATCCCTAATTGTTAGAGTTGGATTACATTTTTGTTCTGCATTTCACGTATTGTAATTCAACAATGCATATGTTTACTTCCACATGCCAATTGTAGTTGGTTGATTTTGTCAGTTATGAAGAACTCAGATTCATTTTTAAATTCTTGGGTTAACAAAGACAACTACTTGATACTTTACACATTGCCTTCAGAGTATGACTCACGGGTTATGGCATTGGAAGTAGATGAGAAACCTACAGAGGATTACAATGACATTGGAGGACTTGGGAAACATGTAATTTGTTTTGTACAATTGATGCATAGACTGTTAAAGCGACACTATGGTTGAGTTTATACATTGCAAGCAGTAAAATGATGTTCTGTTGTGATACAGATTCAAGAGCTTGTGGAAGCAATAGTGAGCCAATGACACACAAAGATTGATTTTAGAAATTGGGTATTCATCCCCCAAAGGTGTTCTTTTGTATGGACCACCACAAACTAATACCACAGTTCTGAAACTGGCTGTCCACAACTTGTCCCGATAGGTAATTAAATTTATGAAATCAATATTTGTAACATCCCATTATTTTAATTTGAAATATACTAAAATATCATACAAATGCTAGGGCTCCTAAAACTAACTATTTTAGCATTTCACTTTTTTCAGTTGGCCTGATAAACAACTTGCAGTTTGCAGAATTCATGCAGTGTGATTCTACACTGCAAACTCACTCTTTTCTTTTTGGTGATGTATTCCTTTAGACATATTTAATATCTCCATGCTGGGTGGTAATTGATGTTATATAGGATGATTATTAGCATCATATTAGTATATATATTATTTGTCTGCAGTCAATTAATTTGTACTTTTTTGTTTCATTCTGCAGTGAAGTTAGCGGCGATAGAGAAGTGCAAAGGGAATTGCTGAACCAGCTTGATGTATTTAGCAGCGATGAGAGGATAAAAGTCAGCATTGAACCTTTAACTTAATAGTTATTACTGTCTTGATGCTTTGGCTCAGGTTCTGTTCAATTGTGGTAAAACTACCTCTATTGATCGTGATATGAGTGAAGGTCTGAGCTCCTATCAGGAAGTAGGTCAGTTAATATGAATTGATGCGAATTTCCATGTCATACGATTAAAGATGGCAACGGCCCCCGATACCCGATACCCGACGGGTATTTGATCCATTAGGGGACGGGGATGGGATCATATCTTTACCCGCGGGCATCTAAATGGGCAAGAATCCATCCCAACGGGTATAGCGGGTACGGGAACGTTTCCTGTTTACCCATCCCCATTACCCGTTGGGGAACCCGACTATTTGAGCTGTCATGCAAGTATTAGGCCCAAAGAAGCTCAACATAGGTATTTTGGCCCAAATCTGAACAATCATATATATAGTTTGTGTGTTCTAGGAACCCTAGTTCAATTTTTCCTCACCATCTACGCCAGCAGCACAAGCACGCCTGCCTCACGAGCGCTCGTGCCCCTCGCTTCCTCAGTTCGGTCTCTCTGCCATCTTTGCTCATCTTCCTCGCAACCTCGCTTCTTCTCCTCGGCATCTCCGAGACTCCGACACTTATACCCGGGTGAAGAAGAAACGTCTCCGATTGTAAAGTTGCGACCCCAAGTATCCTTGTTTATCGGGTATGCAGTACCCGTCGGGTATCTGTTACCCGACCGATGCCCGACGGGTACGGGGATGGGCAAGAATCTATACCCGAGACAGTTAACGGGGATGGGGACGGGATGATTTCTCCGTAGCGGGGAAGAGAACGTTCCGGCGATACCCGACGAGTACATCCCCGTTGCCATCCGTACATACGATTGCATAAAAAACACAGCAAAACTGATTACTCAACCTTTGCAAAAATAAATGTATTTTGTAGCTGTAATTTTTTTTTTTGGTTTCATACAATATTTAGTACTATAGGCCAAGTTATTAACTAATCACTATAATACTTTTTTTAATTTAGGCTATTATAATGATGTTGTACACAATATTTTTTAATCTTATTCAATTTAGGTTGTGACTTCATTGGGCAAATGTCTTCATATAATGTTCAAAACAATTGATCTTGATTGGAGCAACAGAGCTACAAGCTACGGTGAGTAAGTCAGTCATGAAATGACAAAGGGCAAAATCCTTAGTACTGCCTATGGGAGAAATCAAATATTTGATTTGTTGTATATGTCTTGTGCAGCGTTTGGTCTTGTAAATCAAGATATCAATCCAATTTGGTTTGATGTAGCATGAGGAGGATTTAGGTATTGGCAGATCTATGTTATGCAAGATCATTTAGACTTGGCAGATCATGTGGCAAGTTATGTTCACCTTTGCATACTGTATTGGTGGCTCAAGTAATATATTCAGCAGTAGTGGCCGATAATTACTGGAGGCATGTCTGTATTCATCAAACATTTTTTGGCTACTGTAGTCAACCCTAACTTCATTTCGGTTGTACCAGGGCCTTTGGTTGTGGTGTTATTATTGGAGATTATGATAGAACCCTCAGGAGTTCTCTATATAAGTTACTGTATTTCATAGTTGTAACGACAAGAGTGCATAGGCTCTTTGTGTTAGTTTTTATATGAATTTGGTTTTGTATCAGTTGCGCGCTCATTTTCAGTATGGATGGCATTGTTTTAAGTAGCATTGTGCTTTAGGAGTCTTGTGAATTTGAAATACATAATGTTTATTGACTTTACAAACTTGAACAGAAATGCTTCGGTGCTGCATTGGGGAAGGGAAGACTGGATGCAAAAGACGCTTACAATTTTTTATTTTGTTCTTAATGCTCTCTTTATTTCTTGTTCTTCTGTTGTGAATGCATAAAACACAATCAAATAAACATTTATTGCTTATTGTAACATAGCTATTTGCTCAGCAACATTGGCTAGAGTGGGAGCGCGTCGTGAGGAGCCACGTAGTGCTAGAGCGGGAGGAATCCATGAGGTGGTCATAGATGTTTATATTAAACTGCTGAAGGTCTAGGAGGGTTTGAAAAAGAGGTCAGGAGGTACAGTCTATCTTGAAACTACGTGCTTAGTTGCAATCATGAAGCAGGATGGAGAAAAGGACGAGACCATTGAAGCCAATTACCCTAACCGTGGCACTTCACAGCGTCCTGGTTTAGTTCAAAGGGTGCTAGCTTACTTGAAGCATGATATGGTAGCAATTTTTTAAACGATCTATTGGTCTTTCATTATCAATTTTTTATGCTTGGTAAAATGTTTATTGTTTGATTTGATAGGTGTTCCTTCCAATAAATGTTACAAATACACATTGGTACCTTGCAGTTATAAACGCCGAAAAACGTGAGGTCCAGGTGCTAGACTCTTTGGGCCAGATGTTCAGACGTGTTGATCTCAATAAAATTATGGGTGTTTCCTAACACAGCTATTTGTGCACATTTTATATTTTAGAAATGTCGATTGATTCGTTCTTCTATGAACAAATAGCGAGGTGGATTGCGGAAACAGATAGATTTTATATTGGAGGAGACAGGCCCGAAAGAGCACAAATGGCCCGAAAGACACACCAGCGCTGATGTATGTCAGGTACACTCTTGGATTTACCTTGCAGTACACGGACGCAGTGAATGTACATATTCTTGGATGGAATGAGGATGTTTTCAAATAAAAATTCAGACGGGAAGGAAAAATTGCCGAGGACATAGATGGGTAACTAACTCAGAGTCACTATGGCTTGCAATAATAATACATACGATTTAACTATTTCTATATATAGCTGATCGTGAATCTTGCCACAAACACTTAAGTGGATATCTTATTCTACAATATATGTCTACGTGGAATAGACCAAAAGCCACACATATTTATACGGTGAGTATAACACTTTGTTTTAAGTTTTTGTGGAAGATTTTTCATGAGACGCAGTATTACCCATGCGATAGGCACTAATATTGATATATATACTGGAGCATGTGTACAGGATGGTATGGAGATGCGGCGGAACTTATTCGTGGATTTATTGGCGCACGAAAGAAATGGATATCGGAGATTTCTTTCTGCCGATATAAAACATTATCTTAGGCACATCACGAAAATGTCTATAAAGTAGAGTTTGTAAGCCTGTGACGTCGCACTCTCCGTGGCTGTTAATTTCACAAACTTTGCTTTTTGGATTAACTGTCACTTTAATGTTGATATTTAATTTTTACAGTACTGTTATCTTATCGTGCGATCCGTATGTTTTTAGTATAAATTGTTAGTTATCCTGTAGCAACGCATGGACACGTTAGCTAGTACATATAAAGGGATAGAGAGACAACCTGTCGTCCTGTCCTTCTGAGCCTTGGGAAACTGGCCTGGTAAGGTAAGGATCAATCTGCATAAAGGGACTGCTTTGCAAAAAAAAAAAAAAAAAAAAAAAAAAAAAAGGTGTTCTATGTAAATATTTGGTTAAAGAAACATGTTTGAACTTTGAAGAGGGTAGAGAGAGCTCTTTCTATTTCACTCAAGAAGAAAAGAGTTCAAACGGTTTATAAGTAAAACTGGTCCTGAAAATCTAATAACTACACAATTTATTAGAGAGAAACCGACGACAAGCCAGAGCATGATATCCCGTATGACAAACCTAGAGCATCCCGCTAATACATAGTGGCAACCTAAAAATGATGGAGCCGGCCGTGTGCATCCGCAAGGCAACCTAACAACCTAGAATATCTGAATTTCTCTGAGCAGCCAACATGTCTGAATGTTGGACAGACAACAGCACACATGCGCGTTATTATGGTCTCTGCTTGGAATAAGCAGTACATAGCTGTTACTAACACCAATAATCCATCTAGTTGGTAGTCCGTTCCACATACAGTATGAATGTATGACAGGAAATAGGAAACCGGTTGTTACATATACTCCTAATCCTAGCTATTACATAGCCATGACTCAGGCTGGAGCTTCATCATGAGACGAGAATGACTGTACAACATAAACCGGATCGCCAACCTTGATGGCCCTTCCGTTGCCTTCAGCTGACAGGGACTCTTTGCAGACAAGATTTTTCCCAAAGTACACCTACAAAAATCGATAAAGTGATATGGTGACTGGGTGAGTCTTCCGTGAGTTTGGCTGTTATGAACCTTACTACTTACTAGTAGTACGGAACAACTTGAAGTATGAAAGCCGCTGAGAAGAAAGACACTTTGGAAGTTACCTGCCGTTTATTTTTATGGCTTGGAAGCAGCACTTCACCAGACCGAAATGTGAGCAGAGTTTCATTTGGTTCAGTACCAGGGATTGCCTTTTCTTGATCAATGTTAGGAATCTGAAACAGCCAGTGCAGGAGCTGAGAGATGGGATCTCATACGTTGTTGCTTTCAAAGTAAAGGGTGCACACTTTATAACATCGATCAGCGTACAAGGAAACTAAATAACCACAATATCAGTATTTCTACCTTGCAACGGTCGCATAACCTGACACCTATGAATGTTAGCTTGTTGATCTTCACTGTTTTCCACAGGTCCTCTGAGTATGGATGGCATCCATCAACTGAGATACTGTCGAAAGATTCAAGCTTCATTAGAAGCAAGCACAACCATTATAATTTGTGAAGGATAAGTGGGAAATCCATTAAGCAACCTTGCTAGCTAGCCCAAGAAAGGAATTCATTCAGAAAGTACAAAGTAGCAGCACGCGTTTTCTGATGCTCACTTTGGTCTGAAGCGGTTCATTGGTACAGGCTCTTTGAGAATCTCGTTTAGCGCATCCAGTGAGGCCTGCAGCAATCAAAGGTCAAAGCATGAAACGTGCACTGCCAACTGAAATATTTGTGATGTTTAACAACATTTGCAGAGAGATCATTTGTCGGGGCCAAAGGGCGCCTAGCTCAAACGGTTAGGTGACCCAGCGACACTCCTCAGGTCCTAAGTTCAACTCCCCGTGGGAGCGAATTTCAGGCTGAGGTTAAAAAAATCCCCTCATCCGTCCCCATAACCAAAGCACTGAGGGGGGCAACCAGCCCAATTCTCACTTGGGCGATGGAAAGCCACCGTGTAAGGGTGGGGGTGGGGGTTCGGGGGTTTTCTCGGCCGGGTGAGAAGGTCCTTCTTCTTATTTGTAATGCTGCGGGGTAGCCTTAACCCCCCGGTCGAGTTTTTTTTTCATTTGTCGGGAAACCATCGAAAGATCTGAACAATACCTGGGAGGCCATCAGGATGGGGAAGGCATCAGTGAACATGACTTTGTAACCTTGAGCATACTCCGGGTTGGTCGGTCTAGTTTCGGACGCTGTAACAAAAATACGGCAAGACAAACATCATCCCGTAAGTGGCAAATTGTTTTGTTGGACTTGGACAGAAACGCAGAGGCCTGGAAGAAGAGAACGCAGCAGGTTTTGACTGAACCTTCTTTGAAACGCACTAGCCGGCTCGGCTTCCCGAAGTAGGCGGAAAACCATTCGGCTGCTCCATCTCCTTCGTCATATGCAGAGCCAGACCACTCCCATACAGTCACGTCATCGATCGTGGTGTGTTGGGCTTGAGCAGCAAGAGGGATCTTCAGCGGGTCCATTCCGGGTGCTCTGACAACTGCAGACCACCGAAGTGAGTGGCTCGGATCATCTATCTATCCATGGAACGAAGAAATTTCTTCTGTAGTTTGAATTGGACAAACAGAATGTTAGTAGTCCGGGTGTGGCTGCCAGTCCTCGGCGAAGGCCTCCGGCGGCATGTCGACCTCGACGAGCGCGAGGCTGGGCTCCACCCGCTGCGTCACCGCTCGCCCTTTGGCGTTCACCACCATCCACTGCCGATCCCACCTGAACCCTGCGCGCCATGCCAGGATCAGTGTCACCATGCATATATACCATGCCGGGATCAGGACTACTGGCAATTATATTACCAGTGGCGGTGATGGTGGCCTGTGGCACGGAGATGCCCCTGCAGGACTTGATGGGGTATATGGTGATGGACTGCACCGTCGCCGCCGGCTCCGGCGACCCTCCACCGCCGCCGCCGGCAACGAGAGAGGAGAGGAAGGAGGCAGCTTTCTCCATGGCCCCGAGTTGTTGGCAGTGGCAGCCACAGAACTAGGCGAGGTTGCGCACGCGGGCCTCAGCTCAGAGGATACGAAGGTGCCAAGAACTAGCACGGAGAAGAACCGGCGGCGAGGCTACTGGCTGCATGAATACTAACATATATAACATATATATAGTGCCTGTTCGTTGGTTGATGCTGGTGTTTGGTTTGGGTTGGTTGATGCTGGTTTTTTTGTGAGAGAAAAATACTGTTAACTAACTAGTTTGGACTGGCTGAAACCAATAAGCTGAAAGTGTTGGTTCGGTCCGCTGCTGTCTGCCTTGTCGTGCTTATCCGCCACTATTCTCCACCATCTAGCGTCGCATGTGACGTTATATGTCACGTACGTGTGTGCATCCATCGTACTAGGCAGAGGCAGCTGATTGTTAGCTCGGCATTCGGCAAGTATAGCAAATGACTGTCCAGTGGCGGCATGGCCAAATATGGCAGGTTTAATTTAGAGCGACCAGTGAGATACGAGTTCAGTTAATAAAGAACGTGTCAATTTTGCCGTCACTGACTCCGACCCCAGAGGAGTGGTGTGATTGGTGGCACAGAATCGGTAGCTAGACCTGTCCAACTTCACTACTGCATCTATATACCTAGTATGCATTAAAGGAAAAAAAAATCTTCCCCAAACATTCGCCCTTCACTCTATCTCTCAGTCCGTTTATCCCTCGACCGAATATAAGGGTTCCTGAGATTATTTGGAATGCGAGATTTTTTCCATATTCCTACGTTTTTCCTGTGAAATTGAACTGATTCCTGTGAAATTTCTGTGTGATTCCTGTGAAATTCCTGCGTTCCAAATAGGCCTGTTTGGAACGCAGGAATTTCATAGGAATCAGTTCAATTTCACAGGAAAAAAGCAGAAATAGGGAAAAAAAATCCCGCATTCCAAAGAGGGGCCAAGAGGGACTCGTGGAGGGCTCCCCCAGACAGTGCCTAGAGAGCGGGTGCGTAATCGTGTGAGGGGTCTCCTGTCTCGACTTATAGAGCCGGGAAGAAGCAAGGTTTACAAAAGGCGCTGAGTCCCACATGTCGGTTAAAGGTGTTGAGTTGTGATCCAAATTCAGTTATGTACAAGATAAAGGCTAACTTCTGACAGAGCGAAGCGAGGCCCGTCGCCGGGAGGCTTGGGCCGAAGGATCGTCGCCTATTAGGGTTTTTCCATCTCTATATATACTTCATGTAAGCTGTCGTCTTAGGATGAGAAAAGATATAAATCCCCGGCGTTTATAATCTCACCCGATATAGTGAAGATTTGCTGGTTGATGCCCATGGTTTTTTCCTTCTTCCTTGGAAGGGTTTTCCACGTTAAAATCTCGTGTCCCTTGTGTTTTGATCTACTGTTCTTCGTCGTTTATATTGCCTATCGTTTCTAACAAAAGGCGGTGGCGGTTCCCTCTTGCTAGCGTTGGCCATCCTCCCCTTCATCGGCGTTGCCCTTGTGTTGTGTAGAGGAGTGGCAGAAAGGTCAAGTCCATACCCCATCAGATCCGCTAATGCGAGGAGGGACTTGCAATGGTGGCATGCCCACATCTTGATTGGTGAAGCAATGCCGCTACAGTGCCCACATTAGCCATCGTCGTCACCTGTTCCGCTATTCGGTTGTTCCACATAGGACAACTATGGTGCGGGTCGTGGTGTGCCATGTGCTCATCCTTGCTTCGTACGACAACGATTGGCGGGCCCATCTTGGGACATGATGGTCGTGCTCGACATGTCACCCATTCGTTTAGACCTCTTAGCAGGGCTCTAGTGGTCGAGACATTGGGAGGTCAGACCTCCGCCTGTTCGCTTGCTCGTAAACGATCGTAAATTTCCAGCCAGGAACAGTGTTTTTCTCTCACACAAAACCAGCCAGCAGTAAATAATCCACGATCGTTTACGGTCTCCCGAACAGGCCAAAATGGAGAGCTTCCTGCATCCTGCCCGGTCGGACGTATCTACTGAGGGAGCGTGAGCGGATCTGGTAGATGTACCCTTGAGACCCTGTCCAACTAGTTGGAGTTGGGCTCTAGTGGTTGACGTATCTACAAATATTTGTCAAAATACCCATCATGGGATCATACGGAGACATGATACTGGTGGTTGGATAAACGAACTAATCTTCTCACAATTTCTCCCAACTCGTATGGAACGGAGAGAATTATTTTGTTGCAAGCTAGGTCTAGAGAATTTACTAGGGACTCAACAATCACCTACTACTTAGGGCCTTTTTATTTTGGTTGGAGCTTTTACGCTGTGTTTAGTTGGACCCCAAAGTCCAAAAAGTTGCTACAGTACATGTCACATCGAATGTTTGCGGCCCGTGTATGGAGTATTAAATGTAGACGAAAATAAAAACTAATTGCACAGTTTGGTGAGAAATTGCGAGACGAACGTTTTGAGCCTAATTAGTCCATGTTTGAACACTATTTGCTAAATAAAAACGAACGTGCTACAGTAGCCCCAAAATCCAAATTCACCCAACTAGGGCTTAGCCTTTTGACTGAACTGTTTTTCGGGCTTTTAATTGTTGGCTTTTTACTATTGATTCTTGTAATAATTTTTTAGCTTGCCAGCACATCGAAAGCTAGAAAAAAAACACATTTTAATTATATATCTTTTAGTTTATTTTCTCAGAACTAACTTAATTTTTAACTCTTCAAAAATCATTACAACAACTATGTTGTTTTTTCAGCTTTTAGCTTATGACTAGCTAGACTGCCAGAGCTAGTAAAAGTGGAAACAGTGTTCGTCTTGCAGTTATGTTGGAGGTTGTCTTCATGTCTACGAGTCTAACCTGAACTCTATAACCCCTAAATGCTAGTAGAACTCAAGTTCAACTTTTACAACCTATTTTATTTTTTTAGAAAGGTGGCAAGAGCTTTGCCATATTTTATTAGACGATAGAAACAGAAAAAAGAAAAATTACAAACTAGACCAGGCGACAAAAGCGTCCTACTAAAACGGTCTCATGACCTTCCCTCGACCCATGTATTGTTAAATAATCACTCAACTGTGATTATTCCCAGCAGCATGTGGCCTGATGTGCGTGCGCCCACCATACTGTAGCTAATCGTTGTCAATTGTCTGGTGTGCTGGTGGCGGCATGACCAATATTGCTCACTTATAAAAAATAAGCTTAGTCGGACTGCAGGTTAGAGCAACCAAGACTACTGAGTTTAGTAATAAAGAACCTTGTGTCATGAAGTCAGCGATTGTGATTCCTGACGAATTGTAAATTGTGATAGATAAAAAACGGTCAATAACTAGATGTGTCCTTAATAATATCCTACTAATGAAGCGTGTTGTGGAAGCAATGGTTACGTTTGTGTCGAACATGTGTATAATTGGTTACAATTAGATTTGAGTTGTAATTGGCGGCTATGGGTACAGTTTGAGTCATACTTTTGTATCTCTTGGTTCATGAATATGATGGCACCAGGAGCTGGGAGTTGGTTTGGATAGTGGCGAGGCTGCAGGAGCGGCCTAATGCTGTTGTAACTGTTGTTTAGGTGAAGGAGCTTCCATAGTCATGCTACAAGGACATAGACGACAACGGAACCCTGTTAAAAAAATCGTCGCCGCTGCTTAGGTTTTTTTTCCTGTAGTGTTTAGGCATCAGATAGAGTGGGCTTTCTAGCAAATAAAGAAATGGAAGAAATCCCATCCCTTCCATCCAACAGCTTTCCACTCAGAGACAAAAGCAATGTGAGGCAGTGAAATGGTTTTTCTATTCATCGAGCATCAATACATGTAGCGCTAAAATCTGTCGCGTGTATATATTTACATGACGCAGCTCGATCTATAGCTGTTCCTATGCGCAAGAAAACACCAATCAGGCCAAGTATATATATAAAAAAAGAAACTGTTTCGATCTGTACACCGTAGTCAATAGTCATCTAGGCATGCATGGTCACCGTGCAGGCCGGGGCAAAGGGTACTGCAGCGCAAGATGCTCCTCTTTCCTGCAACAGAAACTCATTCCAATCATTCCAAACACAGCCATATTTGCAAACAATGAGGCATCTCGATCTAGTCACGATCATCGAACACAATTCATCGGCGATGTGCCTCTGAAGTGAACACAACAATTCGTGAGCGCAAACTGAAGGTGCTGTCTGCGATAGATTTGCAGTCGCAGGGCAACTCACAGTGGGAAGACGAGGCAGAGCATCGTGAGGAGCAGCGCCAGCAGGAGGCAGGCCAGGCCGACGATGACGTACCCGCGGCCGAGGAAGCTGTTCTTGCCTCCCAGCACGCCGGCCGTGGACAGAACCAGCGCCTTCTTCCCGCCGAAGCTGTACGTGTTGTAGTTGTTCTGCATCGTCACCGTTATCAGCTCGCCGGCACGGAGGTCCACCTGGATCCTACCGTACAGCTTCCGGAACGTTGGCAGCGCCGCGGTTCGCATCCACACGATCAGATCCTCCTGCTCACTCAGCTGTGGAATTCGCAGCTCTTTCAGACAATACAGAGAAAGGTAGTAGCCCCGCTTTCCAGTAACAAGCTCCAGACGTACTTACAGGTATCCCTGGATCAAGCGTACCACCGCCAATGAGAGCTCCTTTCTGAAAGTTCCTTGGAAACACCTGCTTCCCAAAAATGTGCTCCCTTTCGCTCCTCCATGAGATGCCTCGCTTGTGAACCCTCAGTGCCTTGTTGCCACGGGCGAAGCTGTAGGTGTCGTTGAACAGGCTCCAAGCTACGAGTCCGCAGGGGACGACGGGGCTCCCATGCTCAGTAGCTTCAGGCTTGCAATACTGCGTGTTGTTGGCCTCCTTAGGATTTATCAGCTGCTTGTTGTTACGGCTCTTCACATACCTGTGTTTTCCATTTCCAAATTCCGATACGTGTTCTTCAGTTCAGAGTCTAGAGCAGCTTAGCTTTTATGGAAATTAATTCGTCAGTGGAAATGCACACCACGTTAGTTGGTTTTTACCTTCTGTGGTTCTGGTAGAACTTATCAAGTTGATAATATATGTAGATTGGGTGCTTCATATCCTTAGGAACCTACAGAGAGAAGAGTAGTCTCTTATCATATGAAAAACCTTCTCCTTCAACTGAGAACAGAAAAAATGTTTCGAATCCTTTTTTATTTTATTAATTGATGATAACTGTTTACCTTGAGAATCCTTGTGCAGGTCTTATCTATAGATGGATTTTGGATATAGGCAATTTTGTTGTCAAGCAAGTATCCTGGTATGCATGAAGTTTCATATTGATAGACCACTTCAACAACCTATTTGAAAGCAGAAAATTACAGGAAACTTGGATTCTCAGAACCGGGCTCAGATTTCAGGTTTATATATAATAATGCACATCACAGCTCAAACTTACCCTGTTTGAGGCTGCAATGCAACCGAGGCCAATCAGGATAAAAATTATGCCCACAAACAGAAGTACAGGAATAACCTGATCGCATTGCCCAGGGTTAGTTACAATAGTCATCATCATATTCTGAATTTCTAAACCACACTCATGTTGAGAAAGAACTGAAAAATGAGGTATGATGAATAGACAGACAATCAAACTTACTGTCTGAGGCGCGAGTATAGGCTTGCAAGCTGGAAGCTGTTGCTGAGTAAACGGATGATCTTCAAAATCAACAGAATAGAGTCATAAACATAACAAGTACTTGTTTCAAATTTAAACCACAAAGATAATGCTAATAGATAAATTACTTTAGACTACTCTTGCTTTATGAGTCACTTCATTAAGAAAAAGCTTTATGAATTCACGATCGCCTAATCTTGGAAAGAGAGTTTATTTTCTGGTTTGAAGCACATTGAATTCTGCTTATGGGGCAAACATCCCAGCCATCAAAATCACTACAATTCAGGCTGGAAAAAGAAATATATAGAATTCTACTTCTTTACTGAGGAGAGATAGATTACACTGAGGCCTGTTGCGCTTCTTCATGGTGGCTGCCGGGTCATCCTGGCTGGAGCTCGGTCCGGCCGTATCGCCATTCGCCGGCACCATTGCTGTCCCTGGTGAAGAAAGTGTTTCGATGAAGACTCCAGTCCTGCAAGCTGGAAGAGCTTTGCCCCCAAAGGCCAAAACGTTAGAATCAAACAAATGGGGATATACTGGTCTCAGAAAATAGCTTTAGCAGGAGAGTACAAAAAGGAGGCAAGGCATTAATCAGGTTTGGGAGTAGAGACGAAGCAAGGAACTAAAAGGATGGAGAGACAACCTGTCCTTGTGAGCCTCTTGGAAACCAGAAAGGTAAGGATCACCTAACCCAACCGTCCACGTCACTTTCCTCCTCTGCTCAAGAAGACTTTGGTGTTCTGCTCAGGATATTATTATTGGCTCCACCTGTGTATCTGTATTACTCACTAAAAGAGGGGAAGTAACCAATGAAACATCGCTGGAGGCACTTCATACATAGGTATCGCAGCCAACGCAACAGCCAAGGAAATCTCACAGTGCAACAAGGTTCATGGAGGTCTCCTAGGAACAAGAAAGTTTCATTGGTGTTGCTATTTCCAATGCCAGTAAAGAAATCTGAGCTAATTACATGGGGCCCAAATGACAGCTCCTATTTGCTCACACTTTTGATAGAATCGAACAGAAGAGTCTACAAAAATTGCAGAACCACAGACCAGAAACCAGGGAAGGAAGGTGCAACACGCAAAATATCAAGAAGGACACGACAAATATGAAATGCCAGAATTCCAACTCCATCCAAGCTTTGGCTACAAAAGAAACTTACAATGCATACTTCGACCCCAATAAAACTAGATCAGTTTCAAGGTGAACAGCTTCTGAGAGCAACATCCGGTACAAATGTTGCAGTCCATTAATCTGAAGGAACACAACACTGACCAGTGATTGAGACACCGTTGGGGGCGACATACGGAACATTGGCATGCCATCCTCAGTATGCTACTCACCTCCTGGTGAACTCCCAGCCATGTCCTTTCTATGCCTAACTATTTCAACACCTAAATAGTCAATAATTCCTTGTACAGCAACATGGGGCTTCTTCACTTCAACCCGGACAGCAGATATTTGAGGGAATTCAAACAACGTGGCACTTGCAATTCCGGTGAGCCACTGACTCCAAAAGATTCCTAGACGGGCCTTGAACCACATCCTTGACAATCCTACAGAGCAGCACGGGCACAAAATCAGGACTTGCTTACATGAATGTGTACGAGTGAGGAGCAGAAATACGGTACGACGAACAAAATCAAAGTCTGAGTTCATTGATCACACACACACGAGTAGCGTTACCTGTAAATATCCGTGTAGCTAACCGTATCAGACATGCTGTCGGTTTCGCCAGCAGTGCACAGATCCATCCAGGCATCCACGTCCACAACAAACTTCTGGCCCAGTGTCTTTTCTTCTTGTTTGACACCATGGAAGCCATGGAACTGCAAGCCTCTAAGCACAAGCTTATCCTTGCCAACAAACTCCCTTCCAGCCATAATAAGAGGACCTGCTACAAAGTTCAGTCAGTCAGGCAGCACAAGGAAGACCCCCACTTTCCAGCCTTCAGAAATAAGCTTACTAACCTGCGGCGCTTCTTGTGAATTGGGAGCTGAAGGACGACGATGTGTGAACAAGATGGATTCACACGAAGAGGACCTGAAGCAGCCTGAACAGACAAACCAATGGAAAAATCTAGGGCTGGATATCGCAAGTTTGTCCTCGAATTTGACCACTTGGGCAGGCTCGATCTGAGCTCGAGCCCACTTGCTCGTTTATGGATCGTGAGCAAAAAAAAAAAGACACATGTTTATAATGCTTATGCTACATTAATTTCAGAAGGTCACGTCTACTATTATGCAACCATACATGATTAATACACATCAGGTTCATCAAAAGTATCAACCATGCAACATAGTTGGTCCATCCATGATACATGCAGTTAGCATACTTACTAGTTGCTTGTCACCACAGACTTAGAAAAGTCCACAAATTTAATATCGGCATCATCATCTTCTCCCTGAAAAATAATCCATAAATCAATATTTAAGTACCACGGTAATTATAAAATCAAAATCCATATGAAACAGCTGAAAATAAGGATTACATACTAATAGAATAGGTTGACATTTCTAGGTCTGCATCATCATCTTTTGGATTTATGGTCGTAGGCTGATAGGCCTCAGCTCGCGAGCTGGCTTGTTAAAACAGCGAGCTAGACTTCCATCTCAGCTCGTAAAAAAGTTAAAACGACCCGAGTCGAGTGAGTTGACGAGCCGAGAGTATTTTGTCCAGCCCTAGAAAAATCTTAAGGCACTGCCACACCCTCCCTGAGGAGAGGAGGGAGCTGAGGGGAGAGTAGTAGAGTACCTAAGGATGAGAACCCCTACGACGACTCAACGAGGCAGACTGCCTGGGCTTAACCCTGGGCGTTCGGTCTGACCGAACCGAACCTATTGGTTTTTCGGTCTTTTGAAAAGTTCGGTTATCTAAAAATAGAGACCAATCGGTTAGTTTTAGGACTTAGGACGAGCAAGTTCGGTCTCGGTCGTGACGGAACTAATCGGACTAGACAAAACAACTACTAAGTATTATAATTTGTAGCAAATATTAGCAATGTTTTTTCTATTTAAGGCAAAAATAACAATACAAAATATAGATTAAACTAAGTGATAAGAGTCATGGTTGATATAAACCCACTAGAATAAATATTATATCATTGATAATAGTCTAATGTATACATTATGTCAATAAAATCCAAATGTTGGGTTACCCGAGCCATATAGCCGAACTAATCGTAAAAAGTTCGGGTAGTATGGACTTGGGACCGAACTAGTGACCAAAAACTTCGGTCTCGGTCGCTTAGGTTAGCTCAGTTCGGTCTTCGGTTTTCGATCAATTATGCCTAGGGTTACTTGGCCTAGACGGCGCGGCGGTGGCGGAAACACGACGTGAGGAAACGAACAAAGGCTTCCACCCGTTCTTTCCCGATTGCTCCCGAGCAAAGATATTATCTCTCTGCCGAGTTAGCAACTCCAGTACTCAAGATTTTTGTATCCGATATTGTACACAGGGTGCAATATTTTCGAAAATTCAATGGATCACTTTAACGTTATGATCAATCTCACCCACTGATGCCAACTCAACTTCGTCCATGTATCACTTTAACGTTATGATCAATCTCACCCACTGATGCCAACTCAATCGTTGTTATCCGTTTTGCATACACAAAGCTGAAGTACTATAGGCAAGCAGTTTATTTCTCAATCAAAACTTCAGGAACCGCAATCATCAATCAGGATACAGTGGAACACAATTGCTAGTTGCTACCAGTGGCATGCCCCCTAGCCACAAGCCCACAAGGACTTCCATTTGCGTCAGTTTCAGTTTTCTTTTCAAGATCGTCGTACCGTGACACCCTTTATCCTTCTGAATCTAGCTACTTCAAGCAGGCTGCATGTCCACGCCATCAGGCAGATAGTTACTGCACAAACAACTGTAGCCTCAATATTTTCCCCTTTGATTACAAAAGCAGCTGCCTGGAATGGTGGTTCTGCTAATCTGCTTTGACAACAAACTGCATGGATGATGATTTGGCAACAACTCTGGATTGCTAAGGTACAAATGAATGATGAGTTAAGGAATAAAACATCTGGTTGCTTTTATTGAACAGCAACTAGAACCAGGCCTCCTGCCAGTCACAATAAAAATTAGCACCACAAAATTCTGGCCATCTCAACTACAAACAGAATCTACAAATCTTTGGTGAGAACGCACAAGGGTGCATGTTGTACATTCACGCTTCTCGCAGTTTCATCCCTCATGTTACAGTGCTACAGAAAACCAAGAACAATGTCTACACAAATAAGAACTTTCAGTGATAAAAAATTAAGGATTCAGAATCTACTACAGCTATGCCTACCCGGAGCCCGCCACAGGGGTTTTCCTGGTTTTATCAGCGTGTGGCAGTTTTTTTATTCTTTCTTGCAGATGTGTTCAACTTAACTGAGCAGGAATCGAATCAGGGCCTTTCCTGGCAGTTTCCACCAACAGGAACAGCAGGATCGAATCAGAAGAGAACAAGATCCTCTTCGAAATGAACTCAGATGTATGAATGCTGAAACCCAGGCTGCCCTATTTCTCAGTTTGTTGCATGGAGACCAAGCACATGGCATGGGAAGCTCCTATTGCAACGGAGATGACACGAAAAGGGCCCAAACCTTCATCATCATCTCTGAGGAAATTCACCTTGACTGGGAGTGGCTGAACTTCAGGCAGACCAGGGACGCCTAGCTGGCAGTCTCTTGCATTTCCCCACATGTACAAGTCACCTTTCTCTGCCCAGACAATTAAGAACAACAATATAAGTTCATGTAGGTTGTTTACAGAGAGGAAATTTGATTATCTGCATTTAGTCAATAGGCGGCGTGATGTAGAATCACAGTGAAGCAATGCAACCAAGATCCACAAAATAGATAGCCTCATGCCAGGTAAAAGTGACCTTTATAGACTGCAACTTGAACAACCCATATTTTAGTTAAAGTAAATGCACTTGGCCTAACAAATTAAAAGATACCACAAATTGCCATTAAAGAGATTTTCTCTGTCATATTCTGAATGACAGGGTGTGTTCATCTCTAGAATCGTATTCAAAATACAGAATCTCATTCAGTTTGCATGTCATCATAGGTGGTATATCATTTGACATTTCCTGCTGATCACCAGCAGAGACATTTATTAGGTTTTTGTAGACCAAGATTTTCTTTTCTAGAATATTTCTAGTCAGAGTGAAACCAACAACCACATGTCAAGAGTAACCGGTAGAGCAATGGAATATTGGACAACTAAGAGAAGAGTTCTCTGAATTTCACCTGATATAGCAGCAGAGGTCGATCCTCCACAGGCTATATGGACAATTCGCTCATCAGATAAAGCTTTGATGGCAAGTGGGATTCTATGATTTTGAAGGGTGGGATGCCCAAGTTGTCCATGCCCACCATGCCCCCAAGAGAGAACTTCACCTTCATCTGTAACAGTGGTGAGACATTTCATGATATAATGCTATGGTGCAACAGCCAGTGTACTATAAGGTGTTCGCTACAACTGCAGTTTGAAATTAATAGTTAATATGACTGAAACAAATCTCTCTCTTTACAAATACAGTGGCTTTCTATTGGTTCATGTAGGTTCTAAAAATGGTTCGTGAAAGATCAGACTTTGCAGGTTCTAATAATTTACCAGTCAAAGCTAAAGAATGATATCCACCACAAGCTACTTGGATTACACGGATACTTTTCAGACTAGGGACAAGCTGTGGCCTCCAATCACTGAAATTGCTTCCTCTGCCCAGTTCGAAGTTTGAATTTGCTGGAAATGATACACGAAACACAAATATTCAGCACATCAGTAAATTGATAACAGCCATAAGGGAAAACTGAAGCTGATAAGTAATTAAATGAGGGGTGCAACCAGAACTTAATAATTAATTATCCTACAGTAAAATCCCAAAAAAATGAAGGGATGCATTCCTTTGCCATCAAACTTGAAAGAAAAACAGGATAAAAAGGTGCAGATCTAGCATCATGAACATTGGAGAAGGAATAGATGTACATCAGTTCAGGAATGTTTTGCCAATGATCATATTGGCTTTGATAATGTAAAGTGTCAATTTAGTAGGGTGGCCAAGGCCAACTGAAAGCATAAAAAGGCATGACAGAGATTCTGTTCACTTGGATTGAAGCAGCTTAACTGCACTTCGGGGACAATACCAAAGTCATCTAATCTATGTCTGATAATGAAATGAAGGGTCTGGATCTGGATATGCTAACAAACAATGGTTATTTCCTTTCAAAAAAAAAGAAAAACACTGGCTATTTACTGCTATGCCATCTGGAGAAAACAACTATCTACCAGTAATGTGTATGGCAGTATGAGTTTTTGGATGTTGTTTAGTCAGAGTCTAACCTCCCCAACTCCATAACTGTCCATCTGAAGTAAGAGCCATTGTGAAGAAGCCACCACAAGCTACAGCAGCAACTGGAACAGGCAATGCATTCACCTTGGAAGGAACACTGAGGGAGCCAGCTTCACCTGGACCACCTCCACTCCCAAGCCCCAGTCTACCATCACCTTCATCACGACCCCAAGTGTAAAGTTCACCTGTTAGCAAAGTGCAACGATCAGAGACGAGTAGTTTCACTTCCAGCAAAGACCAGAATGGAATGACTAGTGATATCACCACCATCTGATTGCAAAGGACGGTATCAGATGATTCAAAACTGACCAGAATCGGTGATTGCTGCAGTATGAGCTCCACTAGTAGAAATGTGTGTTATCTTCCCTTCCCAAGGGCCATTCACTTGCCTTGGCAAAAGCTCCCTATGGTACACATAGTGCCCCAGAGCTCCAAACCCACCATAACCCCTGCAGACTACAGTAAACTGAGTGATGCAGCAGCCACACCCATCAAAATGCAATCCATTCGTCACAAAGTTTCATTCGTGGAGTAATAAGAGACTACTGAATTAACCATCTAATCACATGAAGTATACATACTAAACATTTCAATAGCAATCTTCAAATCAACAATGTGGCAGTTTCCTCACCAGGTGAAGACGTCACCGGAGGTGGTCAGCGCGGCGGAATGGATGCCGCCGAGAGCGAGGAGGCGGAGATCGCGGAGGTTGGGGTTAGGGCGGGGCACGAAGGCGGAAGACTCGTCACCGAGGCCGAGGCGGCCTCCGTCGCCCTTGCCCCACACCCAGGCGCCTCCCTCGACGAGGAGCGCGGAGTGGAAGAGCCCACAGGAGATCCCAACCTCCACTCCAAACGTCTCCCCTGAAGAGGGAAGGCGTCCGGGGGTAGGCGCGAGGCGTGGGTCTGATTCGGGGAGAAGGAGGTGGGCGACGGGGGATGGGTAGAGGCGGCGCTCCTCCTTGCCTCCGCCGAGCTGTCCGGAAGCGCCACGGCCCCACGAGAGGAGGGAGAATGGGATGGTTCCGTCAGAGTAGAGGGTCGGGGTGGAGTTGGATGCGGACGAGGTGGAGAAGTGGCTGCGGTGGGGGAGGAGGCGGCGGAACATTGCCGGCGGCGGCAGCGCTTTTCTTTGGCCTGCGAGAGACAGAGAGGAGGACACGAGTACACGACTACGAGGCTTTTCCGTTATAAAAGTTACTAATTGCATATAAGTTATTAAAATAGTTGAGTTGACCACGGCTCTAAACTCTTTTGCCTCTTACACCATTCCGTCAATCTTTCGTTCGTTTTTCACCCTTTCAGCTCTGACACGTGGGCTCGGTCAGTAAAGATGTCCAAAATACCCCTGTCTCCTCTCGCAGTCTGACCTGGACGCATTCGCCGTCGCCTCTGCGCACGCCCTCGCGCCGCGAACCTGCCCCGACGCCGACCCGCTGCCGCTCCCTACTCTCTCCGACGGCGCAGCAGCCTCCGCTTGCGCTGCTTGACTCCTCCGACGCGGCGGTGGGGACCTCCGCGGGCCGGCGTGGCCTCGCTGGCGCAGGAAGCCCGCTACTCCCGCTGACGGAGCTATCGCGCTATGCCTCCGACTTGAACCCGTATTGCTTTAGCCCAAGCCCGCCAGTGCCGCCCTGCCACCATCCCCGAGTGCCTTGGTTGCAGTTGCAGGCACAGCAGAACAACGTCCCGCCGGTGGAAGACGAAGTGCCGCCGTCGTCGGATAGCTTCGGCCACGACGACGACGCTAGCCTAAGGGACAAGGTGGGACGACCCGACTGAAGATGACTCAGCTGAATTATCCGCGGCACGAGAATTCCTCGCGCCGCTGATTTTGGCCCTCACCATGCTTTGCCTAAATTCATAAACGACTCGCGCAGAACAGAGAGGCATCTCGGAAGAGCCAGCTACTGAAGAAGGTCAGCGTCTCAGCGACGAGAGATAACTCATTGCGTGCCAAGCCAATCTTCTTGCTTTTCCTCCATTGTTGTGTTTTCCTCCATTGTTATGTTATTCTCCCCGTAACTGCCTTTGCTCAACTCTGCTGCAGCATGGCGCGTGGATCGGTGCGTCGCTGCGTTCGAGCTGGAGTACACGCACCGGTCCGATAGGGTGGGCACGTCCATATCCCCCTCTAACATCCTAAGTGCCTCCGGCATGCTCGGGCGGAACGCCGCCGTGACGTGGGCACATAGGATCCCGACAAGCACATACTTCTCCATGGGCGCCACGCTGGTGCTCGGATCCTTTCGCGCTTGGGCCTTGATGTCCCGGTGGTAGATCCCCGGCTTGACGCCATAGTGCAGGTACTCGAGGCCCCTGGCCACGTCCAGGAGGATGGTGCTGCGCTGCGCCCACGACAACGTCGGCCACCCCCTGCCTTGGCCATCCTCTAAAATGTACTGATCCAGCGAGCCTTTTGGCACGTTCCTCACAACGCAGATCATGGTCCGATAGCACTCGCGAAGCTCTACGCCGTAGGCACGATGCCGCCAAGCTCCGCCACGTGCGCAGAGGTAGGATGAGAGGGGGCTCGAGCAGCTCGCCGCCGCCATGGCGCACAAGGGTGCCAGGCAGGTGCGTGCGCTGCGTGCCCGTAGAGGCCGAGGTCACGAGGGCCATCGCCGAGGCCATCAACGGCACTGCTGCGGGTTCCTTGGTGGCACCCTGTAGGATCTCTGGTACGCCTAGAGAGGGGGTGAATAGGCCTATAAAAACTCAACTCAAACCGAAGTCAAATTCACCCGTGGCACTACCGCTCCAAACAGCGTCACTGTCGCACCTGCAGAAGAGATTAGTTCACAGTTTAAAAACTACCAAACGAAATTTAGATCGGATAAATTTCTTAGCTTCCTACAGGGTAGTAGATCACAGATCGACAGCTGAAAGTGGTGGGAACACCACACATAAGTAGATCGGCCTCAAACTCTAGAAATCACATCAACCACAATATGTCATGTAAGTAATGTAAATAAAGCACAAGTGACACAATGATTTATCCTGTGGTTCAGCTCGCCACCAAGGCTTGCCTACCTCCACGTTGTTGAGGTTAGCCACTAAGGCTTAGAGCTTTTCAGCCCTTCCTCGTTCTCAAGTCAAGAGACTTAACTTTTGAGATGAGGGATAAGTTTACTAGCTTCAATAGATGGTTACAAACCTCCCGAGGCTGCTACACAAGTTGATAAGCTCCACGGGTAACGCTCTAGCCGGCTAGGAGCCATGCTCCAAGAGTAACAAACACAACCGCTGAGCAAAACGTGAACCAAGTGCTCATTTGGGAATCAATGGAGTTGCTCTCTAATCAAGTTTTGGACCCTTTTCCCTCAAGGATTGATGGGGAAATTAATGGATTTGCTTGGAGGCTTTAGGTCAACAATGGAGTGAGAAAGAGAGCTCCTGCTCTGCTTTAGACGTGCTCAAGTGAGGAAGAAAAGGCAGGTTATTTGCCATTGGAAAGGAAGAGAAAATGTATATATACCCCCACCCCCAACAGTCACTTTAAATCGTAGATAGCTATTGGTGAGGAAAGGGAAAGACAATATTTTCCTAAACGGTAAACGATCTTTACACATTCGCCCTTCGTTTAGTGTTTAAGCTATTTACATGGTATTTAAACGAAGTTAAACGGTTTAAATGGTTTTATACTTTAAAAAATACATATAATTATATATGTGCATGTAAAAAATCAAGTATTCTAGCATATATACATATTTATCCGAGTAAAAATCAATCATTTTGATATGTATATATATTTATGCATGTGAAAAGAAGCAAATATAGATATTTATGCATATAACATATCAAGTGTACATATTTATAAATATAATAAACTCAAGTATATAAATTTATCCATACAAAACTGAACTAGATTTACCTCGTGTTCGTCTAAACAGCCGTTTAAATAGCTGTTTAGCCCGTTTAATGTTGTTTATCACCGTTCCGTTTAGGCCGTTTTTTGCCTTTTTGACCATTTAAACGATCAACTGTTTAATTTCTATTTACCCACTAAACAAAATAGTTTACCACCATTTACCATTTACTGACCGTTTAGACGAACACTAGGGAAAGATATATATATATATACCCTAGCCCTCAATGGACACCGCACCGAAGTGGTCGGACGAGATGAAGCCCGCGGCCTCGAGGTCGGGCGAGACGGAGCCCGTGACCTCGGGGTCGGGTGAGCCGGATCCCACGACCCTAGGGTCAGGCGAGGCAGATCTTGCGACCAAAGGGTCGAGCGAGCCGGATCCCGCACCCAAGGGGTCAGGCGAGGTAGATCCCGCGACCCTGGGGTCGGGCGAGGTGGATCCCATGACCAAGGGGTCGAGCGAGCCAGATCTCGCACCCAAGAGGTCGAGCGAGGCGGATCCTGTGACCTTGGGGTCAGGCGAGGTGGATCCCACGACCAAGAGGTCGGGTGAACCGGACCCCGCACCTAAGGGGTTGGACGAACCTGAGCCCACGACCAATGGGTTGGGCGAGCCTCTCTTCAAGTGCGGCAGTGCCGCACTGCGCAAGACAGCAAGGGTAATAGTGGAGTATAGACTGTATTGACTATGAATCTGAGGATACTTGTGGTTGTTTGAGCACTTGTTAGCACATATTAGCTTAAGCATTGTCTCCCTTTATAGTACGGCTTTTCCTATACTCAAATTCAAGATATAAAAGAATCTTAAATCTCTTTTGAGTTTGAAGCCATCTATATTTATAATTAGGGGCTCCTCTGTTTCGTGTAGCATCCTCAAATATAAATTCCCTACTTATCATCTTGATAAATCTCATTAGTTCTCTAATTGTATAGTCATTATCATCAAAACCCTCAATTAGGGCTTAATTGCACCTTCAATCACCCCTTTTTGGTGATTGATGACAACCCAATTAGAGCTTACAAAAGATATGAAATAAATACTGAGATTTTCGAACCATGGGTGTATAGCCTCCCTCTAAGTATATGAGTAGAGAATTGAATTCTCAAATTGGCATAAAAAGTCAAGATTCATATTTTAGTGAAAGTGATGGAGCTCCCCCTACATCCATGCTCCTGTGGGGTGCTGCATACTATGTTAGGTATGTAAAATCTGATGTAAATGACAGTTTATGCATACATGTGCTTGATGTTGTGCGGTAGTGCCGCACCTGACTGTATGAGCAAGATAGAGTCAAGCACCACATAGCTAGCTCAAACAAAAAGATATGCAACCTAGCACAATAAGATGACTTCTAATCCACACAACGATACATGTCCATATCCGATACACAAAGAGTCAAATAGTAGCATTATTTCACAATTTAGAGTTTTGAGCGATTCTCAAACTTTCCACCTAGCGAAGACTAACACTCATCGAAAAGGACATGAAGAGCAGCTATTGCAAAATTCTCTAATTTTCTCTCCCTTTGGCATAAAGCACCAAAAAGAGAAGAAAGAGAAGAAAGATCAACACTTACTCGTCATCTCCCTAGATGTTCGTCCAATTAATATCATCGCCTCCTGCAGCAGTCCTGGCACCACCATCACAATCATCGTCGTTGGAGTCAATACGTGCATGGCCCTGACGATGAGTAGTGGCGGTGTAGCAAGTGGAATGAGTGGAACGCCTCGGTTCATGTCTTTGACGATATCCCTCTAGGGTCTCATCCCAATCTGCTGCTCGTCCCTACTCCTCCTCCTCATCGTCATCATCTAAATCTGTGTCGGAGAGACTTAGAAGGTCATACTATAGAGGAGATGGAATAGGAGGAAGTGGTGGAAGGTCTTGTCCACGCTGCTGACGCTGCTCAAGCTATGTCTCATACGCTCTATCAGCTGCATAGGTGCACTTGCCGAAGATTGCCTTCAACCACTTGCTAAACTTCTTCATCTTGCCTCCTCTATGAGACCTAGAGCGGGAAGATTCAGGGATGTCTACATGAGCATGAGAGCTCCCCACTCCCTGAGTAGCTACAGCTGGCTGGGTCTTCTCAATTTTGTAAACAGTGTGCATTCCATCCTTTGGAAAATAAAATCCAATGACCCTCTCAATCATGAACATGAGGTAAGGGGCATAGGGCAGCCCCCTCCTCCCATCCTCTACTGTAAATCTCAACTCAATCCACATGAATCTAGGG